AATATATTATCGAAAAATAAAACATTTTTTAAGGAATCAATATTAATATGAAGTTGGATGAATTTTTTAAATTATAATTAAATAATTTCCCTTCGTAATAACAAGGCTACACGAAATTTACATCCAAGGTTTTCCAGAAACCCTTTCCGAAATACAAGAGTTTTTTCAATATTTTTCCTAGATTTCTTATAAATAGAATATAAAATAGCCCAAATAATCTATATTCTGAAGTTTTTGAAATTCCACCTTATCTACCCATGTAAGAAAAGCAACAAAAAAAATTCTCGTACTTCGGAAGATTTCTAGAAAACCCTCTCAAAACCAGAGTATTTTCTGTCGACTTTTAAAGTTTCTAGTAAACTGCATAGTATTGAGCAGGTAAAATAGAGTACATCTTGATATTCTGACATAACTTGGATTGATCTTGACTAAGTTATAAATTTTTGAATTTTACTCAAAAATAGGCAAAAATGAGATATTTCACTTAATGTACGTTTCCACTAGGTTTTTGAAACTGTTTTGAAAAACAAATATTGCCATGAGATTCAGCATAGTCGGTAACCTATGTTTTCATTCATTTCTGACAGTCTCAAAACTAACGGTAGAGGAGTCCTAAGGCTGCAAGGAAAACGCCCGTAGCTCTCGAATCATGGGTTTTCGAGATGTCGCTTGGATCTGATTTTGTAGAGAACACCTTTGACTATCCATATACGAAAAAAGCTGATAGATTCTTATTTAAAGCTTTGGAACTATAAACTGGTTTGCCAGAGATCAGCACAAAAGTATTGGTTTCTGCACTTTATTACGTGTTTCAATCTTGGCTACACGGTGTCGAAAATCCGATCGCGATAGCTCATTCTGTTCTCGAGTTATTTATGTCGCAATCACCCACACTACATTTTGAAATGGATAGTAGTACTTGAAGTTCTTGAGCAATGGCCTGATTTTTCAAAGATCTCTTAAAAAGCCTGCTTTTGAAAGAGAGTTTTGAAATCTTTTCTGTTTAGAAAAGATGCACTCAAGTCTTCTCTTTCCAATGGTGAACATGCGAACTCTCTAGCTCTTTTTGTGCTGGACTTATTTAAAAAATAATCGAGAGCACTGGGTGTTTTCGATAACAGTGAAAGAGAAGAAACAGGTTTGTAGAGAATGCCGTTCTCTAGGAAATCATTTTTTGATCGGTCTAAATGCTGGTTATGTACTTCAGTAAATTCAACGTGTTTCGAAACCTCTACACTAGAAATTTGGCTTTATTCACGCGTGTTATGTTAAAGTTACACAAGAAACAGAAAAAAAACGGTTACGGGACATTTCTTCGTATTTTCTACTTTTCTCCCTTATACAGCAATCTTAGTCTGTGCTATTTATACAGGATCATTGTGTGAGCAGACAACACTTATGGTAAAAAAAGAAACTTTCTATCAAGCCAGGTTGAGGCGTGGCATAATAGGTGGTTATGGGACAAATTGTCAGTCAAACCTCACATAACTTCAGTGAAGTAGGAATTACTTGGTAGTGAAAAGTGATAGAAACGTCGGATTTTCGCTGTTGTCTATTCTATATATTTAGTGAACTTTCGGCATATAAAGAAGGCAAATTGAATAACTTACCAGAGCTATTAAAGACCATGCGGTTAACAGAGAAAATAGCATTTACAAAACCAAACGTATCTGAATCACCAGAAAGACAACATCAAAATAACGGTCAAACATGGATGTTTTGCTGATAATTCGTTCACGATTAAACATAGAAAAGTCGTGCTTGCAGCGATTATAAGCCTAACGTTGATGAATATATGCAAGAAGTCCGGAGGCGGTTTATCAAGACTCAGAAAAGAAACGCATGAGATCATTTACATCATTCGAACGGTACTATTTTTATCAGAATCACTCATATATACAATCAGCTCTACCAGACGTTTATCATTTAACTGATACAGCAGTTTTGTTCTTTGATACACATTTGTCGTACGCATCTGAATACCATAAATATCCACTTGATTTAAATAATATGATCAATCAAAAACGAAATGACGGAATAATAATATTTAATACAGTTACAAATAGTTATGAAATCAATCAAAATGGTCCAAATTCAGAGAGTGGTGAATTATTAGTTTCATCAGTAGCTGCTTCGGTGCAACTGATTGATTCATGGGCAGATCAGACTTCAGAATCAGCAACACTCAGACGAACCCCACTTCAAACAATATCTAATTTACAGAGTGCTGATCAGCTCGATTCATTGGTAATAAATACATTATTTTCAGCAGATGAAACAACAACCGAGAGACAACATCCGAGTTTAGTAATTGATAAAAAGAAACGTAAGTTATTATATAGGAAAGACAAGAATGATTTCACACTTCTTGCATCTATTATTACAGACGACGAAAAACAAACCAATAAAAAAATTCATCCTCGAAACCAAGAGGGGCGTTCAATAGGTAACTATATTCAGCTATGAACAGATAACAAAAACCAATTTCTATTTTTTCCTTGTTATTACAAATCTTCATTTATTTTTTCCTTTTTTATTAGATCCATTTGTTGATGTTAATAGTCGGCAAAATGCCCTACTTCAGTACCTATTGGCAACATTAACGGCGAAACAATTAGACGCTATACCGTATAATTGATTAGATCCATCAACAATTTCAGTCCATAGCGGAAATAATTCTTTCGGTAAACATTGACGCCGATACGCTGAAATTAATCCGCCGCATTTTTTCCTTAATCTTTTTTCTGTTGTAAATAGCCGAGTCTGTCAGTTCAAACGATCAACAGCCAGCAGTCGAAGAAATATTAGAAACTTTGTTGATGGATGTAGACACATGTAAGTTGAAATATGAGATAACTGTATAGTTTGAATCTGAAAATATTTTATGGTATTATTATCTCGACAAGCTATTTTGTTTCGGTGGGATAAGCTTCTTCTCAGAGAATATCTTGCATAAGCTGCGCCTCACTTTGATAAAGCTGAAAAGCACTGTCAGAATAATAATAATTAAAGCTCTTAACATATTTCTACTACTATAATTCTGTCTGATGGTGGATGAACATGTTTCGCATATGATTTTATTTATATTTATATTCGGATGAAAATCAGTCTACAGCTAGTCCTCCTAATAATCACATACATAATCAAGTTGGCATCAAAGTAATCACAAATATCCCTACAGTTGTCGATTATGGTGATTATAGTGAAAGTAATCATGTTGAAC